ATTGTATTAACCACCCAAAGGCCTTTACAGCTGTGAGTAGTATTTGATTTCTAGAACTGGAGAAGAAGATTTTTGAAATTTCCCTAAATTCACCCTCTTTTCGGCCCCTAACTCAGCCCCCTAAGGAGGCAGGCTCACACGATTTATACCAGCAGACCCTCCTCCCCTAATAAATATTTCTCTCAAATATGAACAAATTATTTTTTAAACTATGGATATGGCCCGGCATGTCTATTTCCTATATAAACTATACTAAACTTCACCTCCTCCCCAGAAACAAATGTTCCCCTTTTTGGCCCCTAACTAAACCCCCTAGGGGCCACACCCTTATTTCGTAAATCCATTGAGCCCCTGGTCCCAAGGATGCTTTATATCAATATCAAATTGAGTTAAAATCCAAGTAGTCGTTCAAGAGATAAAGGCTTTTAAAGGGAAAAGTTGACGCCGGACGCCGCGATACGGGCATAAACTCACTTGCCCTTCGGGCAGGTGAGCTAAAAATGATCTACAGCGCATTAACGTCCTACAACACACAATTGCAAAAATAGCTCAATGCTTCCGGAAGCTAACCTGATCCGATATGTGTGAAACTATGTTAGGTCTTCCTAGACTGCCGTCAGAAATCGACAAAAGGAAGCTCAACTTCCTTTCTACTCTCATTCACTTAAAGTCAGAAACTCTTTCTAAACAGATATTTCTACGAAGATTATACCAGTACATTCAAGACCCATGCAATAACCAACTTGGATTTATACCTGGTATTTGGTCTATGTTATGTAACTATACAATTTACAGCAATTCCTGCAAGGGTACATAACAAATGTCAATTTCCCCTCAAAGGTGATATGGAAACGGACTGTAAATTACTCTATTAAAGCAACGGAGGACTCTCTTGCGGACGACCTTGACTTTTTGCGATATAGCGACATTCATAGTACGTATATACGTCTCCATACATTCTGTGGAAAACACCTAAAACTACGAAGAACCTCAAAATTGTCAACTTTGTGTGTAAAATGGTGACGTGTTCCCCTCAATGGATAGAGCAACAGTGTAAACTATGTAACGTACTGTACATAGATGCTATTTTACGTTATGTGACTGTTTGTCGGACTACAGCTGACCTTCGTGATGTCTACATGACACTGATTATAGATAAATATGGCATACAGTTATTTGTCTATTTAGACAATCTGCAGTACGACGACTTCCTAAGGACTCTTCTCGGGAAACATGTTCCAGCAGAAAAACTAGAAAGTAAAGAGGAATCCACCTTGAATTTAAATATATACGTACTATACCAGTGTGCCAACAAAAGTAAAATGATTTTACTCATGCATTCGAGGAAGATCTATATCAAAATAATGGTATAGACTCAACACGTTCAAATTAATTTGATGTAAATAACTCTTTCCTTTTGTAAATCTCTTAACAGAGGAATAAAAGATTTGATTGATTGATTGATTGATTGGTAACAACGTTCACGCTAGTAAAGTATCGGGCTCTACGTATATACGTACAATCAGCATGCGAATATTGTGCAGCGGTATTTCAGACCGACAACATTTTTTTTTCAGAAATAAATCTAGAAAATTTCTAGATGGTATTTTGATGAAAGTTTTGTGAGTTTGCTGAATATTAGACGCAAACAATACTTTTAAAAAGATACTGATTGGTTGATTTCTAAATACAAATTGCATGAAAATGGAAAATGAGTTATCAAATCTTTCCGAACGTCAATTCGATAAACAAGCATTGGAACGCCATTACATTGTAATTACCAAAGTACACTTTGTAATGATGCCAAACTCGGTAAGAGCGCAGAATTATTGTCATAATCAGTCGCCACATACTCAAATATAAAGTGAGATTTTAAAATTCATCTTGATTTTTGTTATTTTTAGTACACGGCCACGTTGAAGAATTCTAGTTTGGTTTGATTTTGGGAGGGGGGTGTTATTTGTTTTATATTTTTAATGAGGAGGTCTTGGTTTCTTTGACATGTGTTTACCTGAGGTATGCCGTTTTTACAGCAATTTTGAGGTAAAAATATACAGATAGGTGATGTACATGTCAGAAAGTTGAGTTAGTTGATTCAGCATTTATCATTCAAATCACTTGTCTTGTTTGTTGTATGCAAAATTTATTGATTTCTGCTGATTATCCTGTGTTATAAATTCACGGTTTAAAGTGTGTGCTCATGTATTTAGTGTGCAGGTACAGGACATGTACAACTGTTCAGTGTTACTCCAAACCAATCAAATTAGTTAACCTCCCCTCACCCACCCCAAGTAGTTTGTTTAGATTGTGTCCTATATTTCAAAGACTGTCCTATATGTTAATTTAGACCTGGTGGTAAAGAATCTTGCAATCTACCAGATATAATAAAATCTAAAATACATGAAGAATATTTATAATGAAATACAATTTATTATACCCAGAACATTAACTGCTTATTTTGACATTTTATCTAACTTGACTTCTCTAGGTTATTTTTAAGTCCAAGAAAAAAATACACAATAAAATATATTTTTACATGATTTTTTTTATCAGGAATATACTATGAACGTGTACAAATCACTATAGCATGGTTATTTTATTAGATTTAATTAATCCCATCATCTTTATTTTTGAAAAGTGACTGGCACTAGATCATAAACTAAGGGAACTTAGATATAGTTTCAGAAATGAAGAATGTCTTGTATTTCAGTTCCTTTTCCAAATGAGTTTTATCACACAGGGGAGCATATGGTAACTGGACTTCTGCCCCAAAGTTTGAAGCAGATTCCAAGAGAAATATTCAGTTTAATGACACATGTACTTAAAATTTGGGCTCAAGACTCAAAACTAATGGATAAATAATTGTATAACTCTTTTTAATAATAATATCAAGGATAGATATTTCAGCCGAAAAACCTTCTTTTATTTTTTGATACAGAAAAAATTCTGTTTAAGAATCATCTGTTTTGAACAGTTTTTTCTCTCATATATATAGCACCGACACTCGATCCATATTGATATGAAATATTTGAAATTTGAATATTTCTATAGTACATAATTCCATAACCTTCAACCTAAAGGGACATGTCAAATACTACCAGGTACACATTTATATATACAATGGAAGATATTATATATAATAAATGAGCATCACAGCATATATATATTTTGCTGCACACTTAATAAGCATGTGACATGTCCCTGTAACCCACATCTAATTATAGGTAAGTAGTGGGATTATTATTGGAAGCCAATATCAACACATCCAACTAATATAGTACTTTAAAACAAGACCCCCATGAGCCTAACAGGTCACCTGAGTTATAATACAATTGTTATTTGTTGTTGTGATATGACAAAAACAAAAATTACATATGTATAGCAGGGAATTTTGTCCCTCCCCAGAGAGGATTTGGTACCCCAGGGGTTGTGAAAATCACATTTTGATTAAGCACATCAGGATATTTCAATCCATTTCATCATATCTGGATCTGAAGTAGACAATTACTGTTTTAGCTATTTTGACCCCTTTTGGCTCTGCCCCTCACGCCCTTAGCATGCACATGATGACAACTCCAAACAAGTATGAATTTGTTACTACTGAAAATGGATAAAATATATCTTGAAAAGTCTTATTTCCATAAACTATAGCAAAGTGTGTGTATCCCCTCCCCAGGAGTAAATGGGTGACATTTGATGAAAAACTTAGGATATACACCTCATATACATCAGGTATACACCTCCTATGGATCAGGTATACACCTACTACAGAACAGGTATACGCCTCCCATACATCAGGTATATACCTCCTATGGATCAGATATATACCTCCTATAGATCAGGTATACACCTCCTATAGATCATGTATACACGCCTCCCATATGATACATCAGGTATACACCTTCCATACATCAGGTATACACCACTTATAGATCAGGTATACACCTTCCATGCATCAGGTATACACCTACTATACATCAGATTACACCTATACATCAAGTATGCATGCACATATACATGAGGTATATGTCAGGTCCATATTCCCTGTAGGTAAGGTACCTCATCTTTATAATACTTGTCTGATTGGTTCCTATTGATTGCATGCACAGAAAATATAACATCATGTTGTTTGCTTGTGCTGGAGTTTCCCAATTATGTTCCCTTATTGTGGCCTCTCTAGAACAAGAAGCATAGGTGCATTAATTATCAATAGCTTACCTGGAGTTTTAGTTTTCATTAAAAGTTGTTGATTACCTCTTACCATACAAGAAATATCAGCTTGGGGATCTCAACAATTTCCATGTTATGACTGAAGGAGTCAGTCCTCAGGGGTGAGGTCGGCTCCATTAAGGACTATCTTGGTATCATGAGTGCTTTTCCTCTGCATGCCCAGCAGCAGCATATGGATGGGATCTTTACTGATTTCATGTAAAATTTGGGGACTATAAGTCCCTTGTGGCAGGGCAGGACCCTGGAGCCAATCATGTAAGCATGGATGTATTCAGATGGTTACATGGTGGGGGATCTTAATTATCTTTACACCCAAACTTACTCTATTGGCACCCAAATGCTCTGGCCCAGTGTTCTGCTTTGCCTCAGTATTTTTCAGACCAGAGATATGCTACAATTTTGGCAGTCATTCAGGAAGAGTAGGTTTTTGAAGATGTAATGTCTTGTTTTCCTCTTTACCGGAAAACATACCATGTATATATTTTGTATCATGTACATTGTATCTTCTGAAAAATGAGTCAATACAGCAAGTAGATGATATACATGTATATTTGAAAACTGTCTCAGGATATATTTCATATACATAACTAATTATAGAAACAGTATTCGAAATATGTAAAGATAGTATCATTTGTACATAGTATATATCATATATATATATATATAAAACAAGGCAAAGTAGTCTCACTCCACTCGGCTACTTAAAAAATTCACACCAACACAAATGTACTATTTGCCGCTAGCTCGCCGAATGGACGTAGGACGTGGGCGTTTAATCAATATACAACGTTATACACAACTAGATATATACATTTCAAAATCGTTTCAAAAAGATGAGAATGACGTCTAAAATATACCCGTGATAATGCGGGCTAAACAATGCTACATGTGTACGTCAAAAATGTACATCTCCAAGTCTGACTGCGAAAAAAAAAAAAAAAAAAAACAACAACAACAAAAAACCCGAAATAAACCACCGGTCATCGAAACCAACCTGCACGCCCAGGAAAAACCGGAGATAGTCCCCGGAAACCTGTATCCAAAAGCGGGAATAACTATTACTTCCCTGCAAGCCCGATTTCTGCGAGGCGACAGTTGGACCACTGTCTTACTCTGTCCTAAAAGGATCCGTCATGTCAAAACAAAACACGAAATAACACGAATACACCTGTGAGTATCGTGAACAAAAAACCTGTTGTGGACTTTATGAAAATTTGCATTCAATATAAAACAAAAACAATCGGTTATAAAAAACTGCACATAAAGAAAAACGTTTGTGCCATTGGAAAAGTTTAAGCGAACTATCCGTCCTGCTGGGGCGACTAGAAATGACACACCAGGGTCATTCACACTATCGCCAGTGTACCAGGTACACGTCACAGCACGCGCCTGCTCGTGCAGAAAACTAGCCCTAGTGCCGCACGAGACAAATTATTCCCGCTATACTGCGAACCGCGGGAATATTTAAGTCTCACTCCACTCGGCTACTTAAAAAATTCACACCAACACAAATGTACTATTTGCCGCTAGCTCGCCGAATGGACGTAGAAAATTTACAAAGAAGGGAAAGGACCAAACCCATCCCTCTAAAAAAAAAAAAATTGATTCGGATCAAATAGCATAAACAATTTATTCGTGTATTTGTGAGCCACGAACATTTACAAACCTAATTTTTGAGTAACGCTTAACCTATTTTCTAAAGAGTCTTTCACATAGCCGTCTCTACTCGAATCACTCTTCCACCGACCGTGCCTCTTGAAACATCTCTCGTTAACACCACTATTTGCTGCTGCTGTTGCCCCACCGGAACGCAACGAATGCAGCCCGATGTTACCGTCCGTAACGCGTTTTAATCTTTTCAAAATAGCCTCTCGGACGCAAGTATAACTCAATGGCTTTGCTTTGTGTATTAACGCACACACTTTACCTGACCTGTAAACCTGTTTAAATAAAAAATGCTCTGAATCCAAACTAATATTTGCAGACGCTAGATATCTTGTTAACATAGCGAAAGGACATGCTGAAGAATAACCCTTACTTATGACAACTTCGTTACCATGATGATATTGGTCCGTTTTACTCTTCCTAATAATTAGCGTCAAATAATCATCAAACATCTTCACATCTACGCAGCGTAAGTTAATTAGCTCGTTAAACCGTAAAAACCCCGCAAAACACAACAAAATCATAGCTAAATCCCTAATTACCAGTAAATCGCCCGAACCCCCAAAAATGTCACACAAAGATTTCAGATTATCGATAGTCACAGGTTCCTTCTTACACACTGGTTTCTTCGCATGACGCTTTGACGCCTCCATAAGATTCTGAACGAAACTGTTCGAAGTTGGATCGGGAAACCCATGTAGGCTGTGAGCCCATTTAATAGCGTATACACCTGCCGCCACGACAGAGTAAGATACACCTGAACCCAACAGATGATTCAAATAGAGAACCACATGAATGGGACTCGCTGGCAACGCGGAGAAACCGTGTGGGGAGATGAAAGTTTGCCATCTACAAAAACTGCTGTGGTATTTCTTGTTGGTGTTGTCACTTTTACTGCACAACAAGCGTGCGGCCAATCCCTCTGAACAGGCGTATAGGGACGACCCAGGCTCCACCCCTGAAGCCTGTATCGCGTCGTTAAGTGTGGCTTCTAATCCTAGGCCTGTAGAATACAGAATAAAAACATTGTATGTAGTTTAAATTCTGAAATCAACTCGTAATGCGAACATGTCAAATGCCAAAAGGGGATTTTCAAAACATCCGTTATCCCCCCTGCCCTTGAAGGTAACGTTTGTGCGTGCCAACAAACGACTATCCTTCACAAAACCTGCGAAAATTTTCGCCGATTTACGTATAATCGGCCAAAAAGGTGCCGATCTCCAACCCGGAACAATCAAAGTTCCGTAAGACATCTCATATTTCATTTTTTGAATAATGTCACACACCAACCTTGGTGGAGGCACTAACCAATTATTTACCCCTACCCAAGATACTGTGAAAGCGTCTATGGCCTCGGTGCCGCTACACCACCATCTGGAATTAAACCGCCTGTGCTTAGCATTGTAGTCCGAGGCAAACCTGTCAACATCATGCACTCCCCACGCGTTTTCACACAACTCTAACACCCAATGTTGAACACACCAGTCGTCACAATCTGTGCACCTACTCAAATAATCAGCGGTCCCGTTAAGAACCCTAGGCACCCACTGTGTGCTCAGACTCACCTCGTTTAAGGAACAAAAATTATGCAACTCATGTGCAATAATTTGCAAAACGGGCTTCCTGCTGCCAACGTTCACTATCGAACATGCATTCTTATTGTCCATTAACAACTTTACATTCTTACCTTTGACCTCATCGGCCACACTGTACAGCACTCGCTTAGCTGCCTCAAGCTCTCTCCATGTAGAGCTGTGCAACATCTCAGTGGCATTCCATGCACCAACTACGTTTGTCAAATTGTTCAATTCCGTCACACTCGGAATACTCACCGTGTATTTACCGTTAGCAGTAACGGTACCCGCCAGAGGGCTCACTGCCTGTGTATGCATACACGTACCGTCACGCATGGACGCCGCGACCGGTTTGTCATTAACAAACTCGCATGCCTCGAAAGGTAAACACACACAGGGGGACACAAACCCCCCGTAACCAATGCCAGACGCATCGGTACAGACGATGTCTGTGCAAACTCTGGTTTCCTTCAGTTTGGAACCTTTGTCATTCAACTCGTGTATTTTTTCTAACCAATGTCTTACTTCGGCCAAAGCACCCTCAGATAGCACAACTCTAGCGTTCCAACTCGCCCTGGACAACACGCAATTGTACATCTCACGTGTACGTAGCCTAGCCATCATGCCAACTACACTTTGCATGGAAATAATTTTTCCTATCATGCTTGCTACATACCTGACTGTGAACAGTAGCTGTCCTCTGCGCTCTACTAGCGACATCGTGTGAGCTAACATAATGTATAATCGCTCCACACGTGCCTCTGTCACTCTGACCACGCCTTCGTCCATGGACCACGTGTAACCAAGCCACGTCACGAAATGTGACGCGTCCCATTGACACTTTTCGTCTGCTATTAAAAACCCGTAATCGGATAACGCATTCTGTACGTACCTGCTCAGCTCGTTGGCACTGTCTACGTTTTCGTGACCCCCCATGCCATCATCCAAGTACATTATTAACTTGTGACCCATTGCCCGTACATGTTTAATCACCTCGCGTAACACCTTACTAAATACGTAACCCGCAGTAGCAATGCCAAACGGTAACACGTTGTAAACATAATGCTTCGTCTCACCCTGAATTATCCAGCTAAAGCCTAAATATGTCCGGTGAATGGGGCAAATTTCCACGTGGTGGTAGGCGGCCTTCAGGTCAAAAGTAAACAAAAACTCACCTTGCGAGAACATGTCACGTGCCGTCTTGGCGTCCTCGTATTTAAACTTAAACATGTGTAAATGTTGATTGATGTGCCGACAATCCAACACTAGGCGTGGCTTACCTTTCCTGTTATATGCAACAGTTAATGGGTTGACCACGTGTGGCGGTGTTGTTACCTCTGTCACACAGCCGAGCTTCACCAGCTTACCTATTTCTACCCCCACGAACTCTGGGTCATCACGTGCGGACTTGTTGTTTGTCAATTTTACACACGTGGGAACCTCCCGAAATGGGATTTTGTATCCCTCGGACACAATAGTTAAAACGGCATCACACGCGCCTTTCTCACGCCAATAGCTTATTCTGGTTTTCAATCTCCCTACTGGAGATTTACCGGCGTCGACCTTGTCGAAAATATCGTGATTATCTGACATTTTATCGTGTACAAACGCCATGTCGTCGTCATACGACTTACCTGTGCCTGACAGTGGCATAATGACCTCTATGTCATGAACAGAACTGTCTGACTGAACGTGCTTATCTAAATACATTTTACTTAACTTATTTCCGTTCAATACTGCTCCTCCGGACACCCCTGGACATTCCAAACGCCAGTGACCGGGTTTCCCACACCGGTGACACAACCCTGGTCGTTGCGCTCTCCAAGGTGCTCTGTCGTCCGGATTGCTGACTGCCTCTGTACTGGTCATGGGTCCGTTCCAGCGTCGAGAATATGGGGCGTGCCTGCCCCTCCCTCCCTTGCCTGATTTAGCTTTGCCGGCTTTCAGCTTTCTACTGGCCTTGGATGTAGCCCGCTCCATCCTTTTTTCGTCATCTGAGTCCGATGCGATAGGGTTTGCTACATACTCATCGACGGCCCTCCATCCGGCTTCGGAGGTGTCCGCTAATTTTACCAGCTTCTGCCGGTAGTCGATAAAGGAAATACCTTCTGTAATTTTGGCAACCGCGGCCCCCGGGCCAAGCTGAGTGGCGCGCTCCGCCTCCATGAGTTTTGCTTTGACCTTGGAATTAAACTTGAATTGGTCTTCGCAACTCTTCTTTGCAAATTTATGTGTATCCGCTGCCGCGAGATTGTTATTAAGCAAGGAAATCTGCTCGTCAGATTTGTTACACATACGCGTCTCGAACGCTTCAAGTTTGGTGGTTATCAATGAATCCAAATGAGATAACACTTGATGCTGAGAATTGACTACAGCTTCCCTTATCTTTTCCGACAAGTCCGTGTCCGACGCCTTGGATGCGTCCATGCTGTTTTCGTAAACTATTATGGGAGAAAAGTTTAAGCGAACTATCCGTCCTGCTGGGGCGACTAGAAATGACACACCAGGGTCATTCACACTATCGCCAGTGTACCAGGTACACGTCACAGCACGCGCCTGCTCGTGCAGAAAACTAGCCCTAGTGCCGCACGAGACAAATTATTCCCGCTATACTGCGAACCGCGGGAATATTTAATTACGTGTAAGGCAATCCATAGTCCCCCAAAGGTAATGATTTCTATATTTAACAAACAGTACCTATTATGTCAGATTGTATCTACTGTTAGGAAAGTATCCTGATACATACTTGCATTACTCCATCCCAAGATGTCCTTGTACACCATATAGAATTACAGAGTGCAAACCTATAATCCTGTATACCGCTCTTTATATACTACATTGTATGTTACAAGACCAATCATTATATACCCTGTATATCACTCTTTATTAGCTGTATACCATTCTTCTAATATACTGTATACCACTCTATATATACTGAGTATGCCACTCATTTTATATACTCTGTATACAACTCCTTATGTTCAGTGCATACCACTCTATATGCTGTGTTTATCACTCCTTACATACTCTCTATACAACTCTTCTCATATACTGTATAGCATTCTTTATATACATGTATACCACTCCTTATATTCTGTGTATACCACTCTATGCTGTTTTTATCACTTCTTACATATACTGTATATCACTCTTTATGTACTATCTAGACAAATTATAATATACCCTGTAAACCACTCTATGTATACCATGCACATCACTCTTTATATACTCTGCATACCACCCTGTGTACTCTGTAAACCCCTTTTTATGTACACTGTATACCACTCTCTATATACCATTCTTTATATCCTATACCACTCTCTGTATACTATGCAGATCACTCTTTATATTTTCTGTAAACCACTTCTTAAATACCCTGTTTACTAGTTTTTTTATAATCTGTATACAAATCTTTATCTTTGTAAAGACATGTTGGTTACTGGTTACAAGAGGCACTGTCTTAGGACCAGTCTCCTGGGAAAATCCTAACAAAAGTGTATCCAAATTTTGATGCTCAGCAATATATATACTACTACAGCCAGGTATTTCACATGTATATATTATCACAGATAGGTATTACACATGTATATACTATCACAGACAGGTATTACACATGTAATTACTACTACAGACAGGTATAACATATGTATTGACTATCACAGACAGGTATTACACATGTATTTACTATCACAGACAGCTGATATAACACATGCAATTACTTAATACAGAGAGGTTCCTATATAATATACTGCTATTGTTGTTTTTGTGGGGAGGGGGTTGAATGGAAAATAGCTTTGTTTATTTATTTTCTCATTATATAAATATCTGTTTTACCACATGCTATCTTATATTTGAATGGCAATAAAGTGCATGCTGTTACTATGTATCTGGCTTGTGTGAAATGCCTTTTTAGGTCACAAAATACGATTGTATCTCTACAAAATATATCTAGTGATCAATATCTCATATACTTTAAAGAACATGCACCTGATGATGAAATATCACTTATCTGTATATATGTATTAACTAATGAAATATTATTTCTTGTCTGTGATAGTACAAGTAAATACAAGTTTATAACCAGTTTGAAACAATGAATTAATGTTCCTTTACATGACAATAATTGTTGATAGAACATAGAATTACAAATACATAAGTATGTTCCTTAATGTCTGTGATAGTTAAAACAATTGTATCTGAAGCAATATAATTAAAGATCTATAGCCTGTCTGTGATAATAAATACAGGTGTATGACCAGTCTGAAACAGTAAATAAAAAAAATATGTTCCTGATGTCTGTGATAAGCAGCCTGAAACAATTAATAAATGTTCCTAATATGTTTGTTATAGTTAATACAAGTTTATAAACAGTCTGAAACAATTAATAAATGTCCATAACCTGTCTTTGAATTTGTAAGGGTAATACTAATAATGCAATTTTATCAAATTACTTTAAAACATTTAGACTAGGAAATCTGTGAAGAAAATCTAGATGAAACATTTTAATGACTAAATTGTAAGTATTACATGCAGTAGGGTCGTTTTCCTTCAGTTATGAAATGCATAGAACATCCTTTTCTCTACCACTTACCCCTATCCACTTTATAATGCTAAACCTTTTAAAATAATGTTAATACCGCTATAAACTCCTACTTTCACTTTCACATACTTCATTTCCGGTTAAGAAATACGAAACTAAGACTTCCGAATTAATGCTTTACCGTGCACAGCTCCCGTTTATAACATTCTATGGTGACGTTATTTGCGTAACATCTTATGTAATATGACGTCATGTCATTTCCATCACAGGGTGGCGAATTTGAATGCATGGCGAATTTGCATGCACTAACGTTACATGGACAATTTAAGAGTAAGAAAAAACACCAACGCGTACAAAAAAGTCCGAGTTTCCTCTGGCCCTGAAATCAGACTTAGACATTTTGACAGATAGATGTCTGGTGTGGGACATCTATCTATCAAAATAAGTCTGGTTATTTACGTGCCTTGCGACGCTATTTATTTGGACTATAATTTTCAAAAGTGTATTTTATCAAAATAAATGTTAGTTTGCAGTAAACATTTGACCATAACCCCGGCCCTTTGAAATAACATACTTTTGGAATTGATTGTATAGTAGTCTATTAAGTAAAGTTACATTGACATTTATCTGTTCTGTCCCCATTATCGGACGCTTCTAGTTTTTCACTCTCGGCCTTTAGTACCACAGACATTTGTCTAACCATAGGTGGTGGGCACGTCTATCAAAAAAAAAAAAAAAATGAATATA